TAAGTAAAGATCATGCTCCATGAAGATATTTTGTACATTTTCTACTGTAAATATCTCAAAACTTCATTTTTGATTAGTAATATGCATTGCTAACAACTTCATTTGGATAACTTTAAAGTCGATTTTCTCTATACTTTGATTTTTTTGCACCCTCAGATTCCAGATTTTCAAATAGTTGTATCTCAGCCAAATATTGTCCGATCCTAACAAACCATACATCAATGGAAACCTTATTTATTCAGCTTTCAGATGATGTATAAATCTCAATTTCGAAAAATTGACACTCAAGACTAGTTTTTTGGTCCAGGGTCACATTTTTTAATAACTGTAAGTGGGTCAAACACAGACTGACTTTGAGGGCCGGTCCTTTATCACTGGCGCGTTCGCTGGCTCTCTTGCCCTCCAGGCCGAGCTGAACGAACAGCTCCAGCAGATTGACCAGCAGCTCATCCACCAGCTGCTCCCCCTGCAGGTTAGCCGCGATATTAGCCAGGGCGTTTATCACGGCTAGAGAGCAGTGCCTGCACAAACACACACGCTTGATATTAAACCACCACCAGAGACACACTGGAAGCAGATTTAATAAATTAACAGCACAGATGTAAAATATCATGGAGATATTGTAACTTTCAGAACGTTCACTAGGGCTGCGACGATAAATCGATTCGATTTTGTGAATGCATCGCGATTCTCTCTGGAACGGCGATAAATCGATTCGTGGATCAATTCTGCGATTTTCGCGAATGCATCGCGATTCTCTCTGGAATTGATTCGGAGCTATATTAGTGAAAGCCAAAATTATTAATAGTAAAATTATGCTGATACACAAAGGTAATTTACATAAATTCAAGAAAAGTTCATTAATAAGTACATACAGTCACGATTATTAATTTACAATATAATTCTATAATATTATAATTTTATGATTTATAATAATAATATTTTAATATTGTTTTATTAAATAGCATAAATGTTGTATTGAATATTTTATAAAATATTACTGAAAGTCAAAATCAATAAATCCTCCCAAAATTATTATTTGTGCACATACCTTTAAGATAAAAAGCACATAAAAAGAATGAAATGGGAATCGGCTGCATAAATGCACACATACAGAAATCTAAAAATACACAATTGCAAAAAAATAAACTAATTAAATAGCCTGTTTAATTATTCTTATTCTAAAGCTCAGAGCAAGGCTGGAAAATGGTAATGCAAAACTAAATTATGACAGTTTTGGTGCAAAAAAACCTTGACAAATGTTATGACTGGACTTAAAGAAAACAATAAAAAGCTACAATAGCATAAAGTTTCTCGTTTCAAATGTTAAAATGCCTGAAACTTCCGCAGATGCTATCAAGCATTTCTCAGACACTACCTTATGCAGTTTTATGCATTCAGTTTAATGCACGCACACACACACACACACACACCTGTATCCGTGGTCCCTGTAGTCTTTGGTGGCTGAATACACCACATTACTGGCTTTCACACTGATCTGCTGGAACAGGTTCCAGACCTCCTGATAGATGTATTGCTGTAGTAAAAAAAACACAGATCACACACTGTCTGTTAAAAAACTAATTATACCTGCTCCATTTTTCAGATTAAGATCAGTGATTAAAATTAACCCACCGAATGCAGGTGAAAAAAAAACAACCATGGTGAATAAAATATACACTCACTGCAAAATTAATGATACAGTAATTTACTGTAGTTCATTTAGTAGTAATTTACTGCCATATTCAGGGTAAATGAAAGAGAAATAAGATTTAAATTAGCCTTAATACAATAATAATTCAATCAATTGTATAAAATATATATATATATATATATATATATATATATATATATATATATTTTTACAAAAAGACAAAACACAAAAACATAAATAAAAA